CAGGCATACAAGGCAAGAGCCCCCTTACAATACTTTTTTAGAGTGATGAATCTGACTGGGAGCCAGTGTCTCACACCTATAACCACAGGCACTTAGGAAACTGAGCTAGATCTGAAGGTTGAGGCTCAAAGACAGTCCAGAGAAACAGATCTTAGAATAGAGTGGTTGTGATCATCAATTGTCCTCAAGACTGTCAGAAACACCTGAAATCTGGGGCTGGGAAGGTGGCTCAGTGGTAGAGCGCTTGCCTTGCATGTATGAGGCCCTAGGCTCAATTCCTCAGCACCACATAAGCAGAAAAAGCCGGAAGTGGGGCTGAGGCTCAAGGGGTAGAGTGCTAGTCTACAGCTGAAGAGCTGAGGGACAAGCCCAGACCCAGAGTTCAGGCCCCATGACCGACAAAAAAAAAAGAAAGAAAAGAAATACCTGAAATCTATCCTTCCACATTCAAAGAGTATAGAGTATTCACTCATCTGTTCTGTATTTGTTGTCTATAACCAGTCTTCTCACTGTAACAGAAGTACCTTCCAAGATTCTAAGGATTCCCTCTTCCTGCAGAATCTTTTTTTTGGGGGGGGGGGTCGGTTGTGGGGCTTGAACTCTGGGCTTGGGCTCTGTCCCTGCGCTCTTCAGCTCAAGGTGAGCGCTCTACCACTTGAGCCACAAGCACCGCTTGTGGTTTTCCTAGTGGTTTATTGGAGATAATAGTCTCACAGACTTTCCTGCCAGGCTGACTTTGAACCTCGATCCTCAGATCTCAGTCTCCTGAGTAGCTAGGATTACAGGCGTGAGCCACCGGCACCCGGCTCTGCAGAATCTTATTTATGTCCTTAATACAATAAAAATAAAGTAAGTTCTCTAAGTATAGAGAAGGAAATTAGTTTTTCTCAATTCTTAAGTTCTGTTTCCCACTGAACTAGGTTCTCAGGGTTAGCACTTCCTTCCTCCACCCCCAAGGTTACCTCCCTTCCGCCTTCATTCTGTGTCTCAACAACTTAATTTTAACACCTGGGTGTCCCTTGCCATAGTTCACAGCTTCCTACCACAGAATCCCAACCATTGTCAGACGCGTCCTCTTTTGTCTGGACCTAGCAGCTCTTGATCTAAATCTTTGCTGTACTTTTTACTTCTCCTTAGAGATGACTCTCTGTGAAGACAGAGATCAGTTGGTGTTTTTTTTTTAACTCATCCATCACCCAGTACTCCACACAACACCTAGCACTATTGAATGAGAGAACAGCAAAATGTAGTAGTGCTTAGGAACAAGTACTCTTCGTTGACTAAGGAGTCTTGTTTACAGAAAACTTAATTAGTTTGGGTATTACCTCTCAGCCTGCACCCTGCCATTTCAGGAAGCCTGGGGCTTGCCTTTCAGATTGACCTTTACTGGCAGAGTTTCATTTTCTCTTTGGATTATGTTGCCTAATGACTTTTCTGCCTGGTTTCTAAGGATCTGATATCAAACACTCATCTGTAGGAAAAAAAAATTCCTATCAAAGGACTAACTTAGTGGCTAAACTTTTCTTCTAATCAAAAATGATCACCTAGTATAATTTTTTTAGCATCTGACACGTTTTATTTTTTGTTTGATAATATCAGGTTAAATAAGTGAAGTAACAATAATCAGGACTGGGAAGGTGGCTCAGTGGTAGAGCGCTTGCCTTGCAATGCATGAGGCCCTGGGTTCGATTCCCCAGCACCACATAAGCAAAAAGAAAAAAGCCAGAAGTGGCGC